ACTAACCACATCTAATAGTGTACAGTGGTCTGAAGCTATGTCCACTTCTGGGTCCTTCTAAGTAGTGCCTCTCTCACTCATAAAATTCACCAGGGTTTAGTGAGCAAGGTATACAGCTTTGCCACATTTAATACTCTGCTGCATTCTATTTGTTTTTTAAGGAGGTCAAATAAATACAGAGTTGTTTGTTTTCTATTTTACGTACCACCTTCTCTCATTTTCATCTCTTTTTTGTTGTCACAGCTATATAAGCTCATTAATTTTTTTTATGTTGTCTTCTATCATTAGGGTCAGAATCAATTCATCTTTTTAATGATTTAATTGCCAGTTTTCGAAAGTTTCCCTGCATTCTTTGTTCATTTCTTCAAACTATCTTTCCATATCACTTTGCATCTTAGCTGGCTCCTTTTTGTTTTTCTTTTACTGCTTTTCTATAAAGTTCTTTTTTTTTTCCTATTAAGGTAAGGCAAAAGTTGATTTATTCAACATGTTTACAAGTTCCCATGCAAAAGCCTTTTCCCAGATCTGTTTTTCTTCTGCATCTTTTCAGTAAATGAATCTTTCATGAAGCAGAATATTTTCAGGTACCCCACCTCATCTTCCAATTTCTCTCTTTCTCTCTCTTTAGTCATCTTTGAATGAGGTGAGGCACTGCCAGGAGTTTTTTTCCTAACAAGATGTAAGTAGAATCAGTCTCTTTGATCTTAAGCTGAAGGGCAATATGATATAGGCAACTTTTAGACAAATCTCCAGGTTTCCAGCAAACTAGTATTTCATGTGCCTTCACTGGACAGAGGCTGAATTAATTATCTTCTCCTCCCATTACTCGAGACTCTGAGTATAAGTAATTTTATTTCTGAATAGCTTGAAGGATTCCAAAGTTCTTATTTGTACAAGTAGAGTACAGAGACTCCTCAGAGAGCAGATTTCCAGGCTGGCCCTGCCTCCATCACTACCTGTGACTAACCTCATATCCTAAGATCGATGCAACCCCTTCCTCCCTGGGAAGAAGAGGCACTCACAGCACTGCGTGGGAGAAGGGAGATGATGACAGAGGACATAAAGCCACGAGGCCTGTCCCACATGTGGAGAAGCTCCGAAGAGGAGGGACACACTGGTGACCCTCTCCTGCAGGCTGGCCCTGAATCAATTTCTGCCATCTGGAAATGAATGAGTCCTAGCTTGTTTCTCAATTTAACCTATTTACACTAAATTAGGAATAATTCCTTAAAAAAACCACTAAACTATTCACTGGAGACCTTAGTTTCCAGGACAGTGGTAAGTTCACATGTTTTGCATGCTTGGGTTTATTTTTCAGTGAGCAGACTCTCTGCCTTCTCTGGGCTGCTTTGCTTACTGAGGACAAATTCACACTTTCCGGAAGGAACCATGGATCCGGAGTGGAGGAATGATGGAAAGTTCCACAACACTCCATAAAGAGCCCTGGACTTACAACACAGTTCCAGTGGGATAATGGGATTCATCTTGCATGAAGAGGCCCCCAGAGGCTGGGCCACCTACTGCCCCATCCCCTCCACTCCCCATCTACTGCTCTGGTTTAGCCATACTCAACTGCTTATAATTACCTGACAGAACAACATTTCTCTTGTGTTTCTGTCTTTGAACATTCCACTCCCTTCGTTTGGCACTCCATCCCCCTCCTCCTGCCCTGGTCAAGTTCTGCTGAGTCTCTGTGATGTGTTTCAGGTGGCATCACCCCCACCTCCCTGCTGATCCTCCTCCCAAGACTCTCCTCAGATGTCTGCAGAGGGCACACAGGATCAGCATTGTGCAATTATCTACTGACTTGCATATTCCCCACAAAAGCATGAGATTTTTAACAGCGCCTTCTATGGTCCCAGCTCTGCAGCACACCTGCAGAGAAGGTGCCCGATGCTAGCTTGCCTAATGAGCAAAGACAAGAATATGAATATTAATAGCAGTTGCTACACTGAAAAGTAGCCAACTTTTTTCAGATCTGAGTATAATGGTAGATCGTCATTGTCGTCGACAAAAGTGAGTCTAGTACATATCAAAAATAAAGTTAAGTCTTTGGTAGTATTTACTAAATTTTAGATGACTTATCCAAATTCACTCAAGCTGTGCTCATATTATCTGAAACCTAGTTGCCCTACAGTTAATTCTTAATCAACAACAGATCAGGGGTGCTGCAATATTAGCCTCAGAGGTCACCCACCCCTACATCTCTACCCACTGCAGCCTCTAACTCAGTTCCACAAAGACAGACTTATTCAAACAAAACTGCTTTCTAGTGTCACATTATTTGAGCTCATGGTACAAATTGCCATTGTCCTTTAAACAACACTGCACATACAACATTACTTCAAGAACGATTATTACACAAAAATTACTCTCTATCCGAGAAAGGAAAACGAGCTTAGCCCCCAAGTCCTGTTTAAAATGAGGGAGTTGGACGCACTCTTCCGCTTCTCTTGGAGTTTTAACGGTGCTTGTTTATCAATTGAAAGATGATCAATAAAATATATCTATGATTCTGAGTCCATTTAATTACTTCTAAATATAACAATTTATAACAAGATTGATCAATTTAAAATATCAATTATATAATATATTTATACATTATGTATTACTATATTATATACAATATACATATTTTATATTTATAAATATAAATATATTATACAATACAAACATTAAATATATATAATACATATTAAATATATTTATGTTTTTCTATTTATAATAGGGTATAAAAACTTAATAGCAATTTTTAATAATAACTTTTAACAATATATCCAAAAATTTACGTGTAAATGTTTTAATAAAGTTATATTTTCTCATTAATTTCAGTAAAATTGAAACAATGTAACAATTTTTAACTGACTCGGGGTTTGCCCCACCTTCCTCCTTTACTTGCTCCCCCTCCCAAGGTCTCCGTTACGCAGTTAGTAACATATAGAACCCCTAAATGTGTTCTTTGGACTAAGGAACAATTAATACAGTCATACATCACTTTATGCCAGGGATTCGTTCCGAGAAACGGGTAATTAGGCAATTTTGTCCTTGGGCGAACATCAGAGTGAACTTACACAAACCTAGGTGGCATAGCCCACTACACACTTAGGCTCTATGGTACTAATCTTAGAGGACCACCGTCATCTGTGTGGTCTGTCATTGACTGAAATGTCATTATGTGCATGCTTTCCAGAGTAGTAATTTCTAAGAATTCTGAAACTTACCAAAAAATCAAAATTTTCGCCAAGCAAGTCAGAATCTCCCATCTCAAAACAAATGCATTTGGCTGTTATTAAATTGCCTTTGGGGACAGATATGTTTCTCCCCAAAAGATAAGTAAAACTGTTAAGTGTTACATTCTTATGTCCAAAAAAAAGTAGAGATTTGACAACTAGTAGACTAGGTTAGAATGAACTGTTATTCTATTATCAGCATATTAGCAAGAAACATTATTTTATTTTTTCCTTTAAAATAGATCAGTCAAAAAGTCAAAAGGTAAAATTAACACAAATATACTTTTGAAACAAGTATGAAATATTTGCTACACAATAGTAAGTAAACAATATCCATTTGAGACAGAAGCTATGATAAGTTGCCATAAGCTCCTTCAACTAAATAGATATTCAGCATGTTCATTGTACGTGTTTTCTAAGAAGAGGATTAAAGTAGACTGTAAAATGTCCATATGATATTCAAGGATGAACTGAGAGGAAGAAAGTTCATTCAAAGATTTTGTTGGAATGGTTGAACTAATTTCACTATTTTTTAAACTAAATTTTCTGATTATTTTGGTGACAGATTTGCCAATGCATTAGGATAATAAAATACTATTCTTTCATAAACCAAAGAGCAATCTAAAACTGTGGAATCCTTGTATAATATATGCTATCTAACCATCTTTTATCATCATTAAAGTAAATAGGAAACATGATCATCTTAGTGCAAAATGTTTATAAATGTATGTATGTGTGTATGATGCTCATTCAGATTTTAATAACTCAGGCATGCATAGTTACAAGGACAGAAGGCAAGTTTCAGTCAAGAATCATTAAGGCCTGTGAAAAACACAAATCGTTGAGTTGTTCTTCCTGACTTATCACCAAACAAGATCCACAGCCAATTAGTATACATAAGTGTAGACAAGCAGAGGAGAAAATAAATATGTCCCCTAAACCAGCATTGCATTATCCACAGGAACATGCCTTCACGACTAAATTTTAGAGACACACATTGAGACAAACTTGGTAGGTAGGAAATTACAGGAAGATAATGTAAATCTGAAGTCATAAAATATTCCACAACGGAAGGTGTTGCAAGATAATTTTGCCACAGGAAACGTTTGCTTTTATAACATGATCATATGTTAAGGTGATTTTAAAAATCAATTTAAAAATTCATAAGATGATTTTATTCTCCTGAGACTATATAGGTTTATTATACTATCTTTCATCCAGGGATTATTTCATGAGAGTCTGTTCTGAGACAAATGTTCTTTCAGGTCAGTAGACTCCAAAGATAGAACAAAATCCATCTTCCAAGCAGCATATTTTTATAGACCATCCCCAATATCACCCCAATGCGAAGGCAAGACTCACAAAAATCGTCCATGTGCCTGTGTCCTGCAGACCAGGGAGATTTGCTGCACGCACCTCACCCCACACAAGTAATTGCCTGATCAGTTAGTGCCCCCATTAAGAGCTATCGGCAGATTTGGTCCAATTCTAAAATAGAGCACCAAAAATACAATTCTACGCAAATCCCTTCAGCCCTCTCTTCATCTTAAAACAGACTCCATACTCCAAAAACACAGTGAGTACGCTACCCAAAACTCAATTTCTTTATAAAAAGGAATAATGCCTGTGTAAAGAAACTATAATTTACTGAAAGAATTTAAAAGAATTGTTTCATTGAAATGGCAAAGACAGTTTTCATACCTAAAACTAACTTTTGGCTAAAGCAATGAAAAATAAAAAGCACATCATCACCATTATTTGGGCACCAACCTGGTATAGGCTGAGGTGCTAACACCACCGTGGGCAGAGGCCTGGAGGCAGGAGCTGGCCTGGACAGGGACATAGCGACTTGATTTGCCAACAAGTGAGGCTTCTCATGACCGTGGAACAATCTTGATTCCTCCGGATATATCCATGTTGAGTCCAGAGCGAAGGAATTATTAAAAAAGATCTGTCCCCAAAGAAAGCAAGTATAACATTTAAGACCATGCATGTGATAAAAGCTAAAGACTACTGTAAAATATTTATCTTGTCCTACACTGATCAAATATTGGAGATCCTATAAGTGGGGAGTCTATAAAAGCATCATTCTACAACTTAAAGATCCATGCGGCCCCAATAGCAATCACCTAGTTAAAGTTATCTGGGCTGGGCTTCAACTACTGACTCGGTTAACTCAGCCCAGCAGCCAGTTTACAGATTAAAGAATCACCCGGCTGAGGGAAGCAGTGTGCTCTAGGACAAGTCACCACATTGCCTTTTTTTAGTTTTCAAGTAAACAAAGTATAGTCAGTAAATTTGAATTCAAAAGCCAAGATAAACCATCAGAAAGGTGAACATTCAAAGCAACAATAGCAAGGAAAATTTGCTTTTAGAATTTATACTTGAATAACATAATGTTTAAGTCTACATTTTGATCAATGGTTACAAATTTAAAAACTAAAAAATTTAAAAAGTAGATTCTGATTCAGAATTGGAAATTTTAATGTTGTTCAATGGAATCCAAAATTTTTAAGCTAAAACTAACTGACCCCCGCCCCCATCTGCTGGCATTTTTGAACAGGCTGATCTTGTTCTGAAGGGATTTCTCTCTACACTTAGATGGTCTACTATTGCAATTAGAAAATGGAAAATACACGTTGTTATAGAAATACTCAACAACCTAATAATTAAAAGTCCGTTTATCCAACTAAACCATTTGCATTTTTACCTTACAGTTAGGTATCCTTTTGTCTATCCAACTTTTCCCAACAGGAAGTAGAAGAGCAGATGGGCAGACATGTGGGAAAGTGGGTGCCAACTCCACAGTGCAAGGGGGGGACAGTCCTATTGACGGAGAATGGCCACCAAACAGCCACTGAAACCCAAGAGAAGAGAGTGCTCATTAGCCCACATCAATCAACTCTACTGTGTACCAGAAGAGGCGGGGATGGCTGCTTTACACAGGGAATTTAAAAATGTATGGGTTTGATTATGAGAAAAATGTCCTCTTTCCCCAGTCAAGAAACATCATAAAAATTTATAATTTAAATTTAAAATATACATTTTAAAAAATTAAAATATAAACTTAAAAACACATAAAAGTTTTCATATCTGAATCATCACAAAGCATGGCCAACATTACATTCTTCAATATTGAGAAAGAACTTCTAAGCACAAACCATGAGAACTTGGTAAGAAATGGGCTTCTGCCCCTAGACAATGAGAAGCCATGATGGAAAGGTGAAATGCTGGGTATTCCTTTTATAATTCTGGAATTATTTTCATAAGCAATCAGAGAGCTATATTTTATGATAGTCCTTTTAATATAACATTTTGCATTAATTATACTTATTTTAAAAACAAACACGACTAATATTTTCAAAACAAAACTAGCTAAAGTGTTACGATTAAAAGTTTCCCAAGGTTCACAAATGCAAATAGATTCCAAGGCAAAGAAAATGTACATGAGCTTATCACATAACTGAAGATCCCAGTGCACAGAATGGAATAGCAAACACTGAAAGGACGCAGACAATTTAGGAGACAGTCTCCATCATTAAAATAACTGAATCTTTATCAATGGAGAACTAATAAGATCACTGCTCAGTGACATGGAACACTTCAATATCTATTTGTTTTAAAATCATAAGAGTATTTTTTATTTTCCTGTTACGTGAAAATGTTCTTCTGGTTCTAAATATTGTTATTTAACAGAAAATATGTAGCACTAAAATATTTAAAAGATTAATGCTAAGTTTTTTTGGATTTCTCTTTTAAAATTTAGTCTAGAAAGAAATGCAGTGTTCTGTACAGGAAAAAAAAAATGTAGTGCCTTGGCATTATATACCTCTAGTGGTGGCACTCTGATATAACAACCCCTTCAAAATATCGAAAAAGCTACCGTTTATCCAATAAAACCCAATATCGACTGCATCACATGTCAAAATGCAATACCCAGTATCACACATGAGATGTATCATTAAGTCTAGAGACCAATTTAGGAGGAGTTTAATATCTTTTAGAAAAGCTCACAAGATAATATCGGAATTAAATTAATTAAATGGTGTATTCTAACATACCACTCATTTGAATATGCTAATGAGAACAATCCTTGGAATAAAATACACGTTATTCTCTGATATAAATGCATCTGCATAGTTAGACAGCAAACAATGGATTTTGCCAAAACCAGCCTGCCTTGCTCTGTTGCACCATTAATCAAAGGTACAGTCACTTTTAATTTTTAATTCCAGGTTTTAAAAGCCAAACTCTTCTAAAGCGCAATTCGGCGTTAGCTAATTCGGTGGGGTGGGCTCAGGCAGACCTAGGTTAGGGGGAAAATCACCGATAACGCTTCTCAGTATTAAAGGTAGGATTTCCCTGCCGGCTTCCATTGGTTTGAATTTTCTTAAGCATTGTCCTGAATCTCATTTTCAAATGAGGAAAAAAAAAAACCCAGATCAGAATCAGAAATAGCTATTGATTCCCAGCTTGCTTTTCAAGTCTGGCAGAGACTGTAAAAGTATTAACTTCTCTGCAATAAGTCGGCCACGGTACGCGGCTGCCACGCTCAGCTCCAGCGCGGCTACTTCAGCACCGCGCCGTGGACAGCGACCCCGGCCCGGGCGAAAGTTGCGGCCAGGCGGTCCCCACTCTGGCCTCGGGGTGCGGGTCTCCAAACCGCTCAGCTGAGAGACCAGGAGGAAATACAGCAAAAACTGCCGAGAGACAGAACGGGACGTCGAAGCATGAACTTTGTCGCCGATGCATGGCTGCCAGGCTGCGCCCTGATGGTTTGGGGAGCCGAGGGCCACCAGGGGAGGAAAAAGCGCGAGCCACAGGGCCAGAGCCGCCCTGGCCGGGAGAGGGCCGCGCCCGGGGTCAGGAGGGGAGCCGGCGACCCCGAGCCCGGGGGCAGGGGACACGTTACCTGCCCATGGAGCAAGGGGTAGTGGTGCACGGCGGCGGCGGCGGCGGCGTGGTCTGGCGCAGAGGGCAGCGGCAGCAGCGGCAGCAGGGGCTCACCAGGGGCTGGCCAGCCCGGCAGCCCCGGGAGC